ACTTTGTTTCATACTTCCATTTTCCCCAATATTTGTTTCTTGATTGTTTCATAATTCCATTTCCCCACATATGTTTAACACTTTTTCCAGACTTTTTTTCATACTTCCACTTTTCGGGCGACTCACACTCGCATTTCCCTTTCGTATTCATGTCACACTTTCGCTGTACTTCGAATATCCCGCGCCGGGTCAAACGCTTCGCCTCCTCTGCGCGACCTAATGGTAGCGATCGTCGACCATAATATGCTCAGATCGCTCAACCTTGATGCATGATCAAGTTGAGGGGTCGCAAACAATCCTACACCGTCCGTGGGCGCGTGGCTGAAGTAGGGTTTCGCTGCGCAGATTCACACTGTCCTGTTGCTGCTGTTGTCGCCCCGCCAACGACCTGCGGCGCAACGCTCCTCGACAATCCTTCCACAGCACCCACTGCGTCTAAAGGCGTTTCGAATTCTGGGGAAGGCATCTCGAAACGGGCCGGCGTCGCGGAACATGGCTATGACGCGTATGGGGGTCTCGTTTTCGCGTATGCGGGTGTCTCGTTTTGGGCGTCTCGTTTTCCGGGTCAACGCTTAAGGAGGGTCTTGCTTACCGATTCATGCCTACCAGAATGACTGGGCACCCGCGCGATGGCAAGACCGGCGGCGCTCTTTCAGTGAGGAGCTGGCTCTTTCGGAGACGTTGGCTCTCATTTTCGAAACACACATCGAAACGGCGGGTCGCCGGGGGGCGGCGGGGTCGATTGGGGGGGGTCGCGCAGCGGGTCGCGGTCGAGACGACGACAACAACAGCAACCATGTTAAGGCCGTTCCCTTTTACCTGCCCGCGTGCCATTCAATAAAATGCACCCCGAGCCCTCGATTCCCGCCCTCTTCGTCTTCGATCGTGCCCCTTTGATGGTGCATTTGCATCTTGCTCACCCACAAAGTGCATTTTGTGCGTCCACTGACGCACGGGGAGGAGAGGACCTTTGGAATGACGGGACAAGCAGCAGGCGGGCTGCCGAAGCGCACGTCGCGCGTGAATCGGGAGGAAGTCTGAAACGACGCGCGACGTCCACAAAAATCGTGAGCAACTCCACCGCGAAAGCACGATTCCAGAGCGTTGAAGGCACGGCGTCTGGATACATTGTGAAGAACTCCCACGCGAGAGCGCAAAACAAAACTGAACAAGCCAGGCGCCAGTAGGCGCGTGGGCGAAAGCACGCGTCTAGCAAACCTCGACACGGGACCAGGGAAAATGCCGCGAGCAGCCAGATTAATCACTAGAGGAGACAGACAAGGAGGAGGAGGAGGAAGAAGAAGAAGAGAAGGAGAAGGAAGAGGAAGAAAAAAGAACCAGGAGACTGCCATGAATGGCGCCAACTGCGGTTCCTGCCCGGGCGACTGGGAGCTATAACGGAAGAAACACGTTACAAATGGTCGTTTGCCCCTTTCAGGGCACGTGCTCGCCACTGCCGGGCCTTTCAACCATTGCAGAAACATGTGGCCGATTCTTGTTTGGGCCATCCTGTCCTCCTTGGGTAAGCGTCCGTTGCTGGCCGGAGACCGCCAGGCTGAAACGTCACCTGCCGTAGGGGATCAGAATGCGGAGCGCGACCAATCCTCCCGACGCTTGTCAATTTGTTGATGTAAGAATTGCGCGCTGTACAGTAATTGTCCGTTTTGCTCCAGAACGCTGCTGTTTCGTATTCGCGACAGGAAATACGCAGGCATGTGCAAAGTTGTACGTGGACGCCGCGGTGGAAACCCATCGAGCCGTGGTTTCTCTGCCTTGCTCGCCCGAGCCGCATTCGGATAATGTATGGTTCTTGATGTCACCAAGGCCTGGAGGAATGCCAATTCTCGCTGCTTGCTGATAGATGTGTGATACCATGCCCTGCCGTATCTTGCGAACTCACTCCGCGCTGCTTCAACTCTTCGACACCATTCTGTATCAACCTGCCCTGCGTTGTACAATGTAACACCAAAATCAGACAGGCTGGCGTTTCCCGTGATGAGCTGTCCTGCTGGCGTTCGCAACTGCACATTGTTCTGTATCCGCATCATCTGGAATTTTGTCACAGTGCAATTCCATGTCCACTTGAGCTCCAGCTGCAGCAATACAACCAAGAAGAAGCTGAAGGTTGTCTGGGTTCCTTCCAGTGAGAGAGGTGTCGCAAGCGTACACAAGCACTTGTCTGTTCCCAACAAATAACTCTGATATTTCTCTATCGTTGAGCTTGTTGACAGTGCCCAGGACCAGAATTGTCATCAGCACGACGAAAAGAAATGGCGACAGAGGGCGGGGCCCAGGCGTTTCCCACGTGGCCGAACGGGGCGGCCCTAGCCGAAGGCGCCCCAGACAGGGGGGGGCGATGCCCGTCCTGCGGGAGGGTCGCCGATCGGTCGTCACGGGGGCTTTGGGGGGGAGCTTCGACGCCTTTATGGAGGGTCTCGCCGGGGGACAGCGGGTGGACTGGGGCCTGGGCGAAAGGGGCACGGGGCGAATCCAAGAGGCAGAGGGGTTAACGGCCAAACCTGAGAGGGCGGGGCTCTCCCCCAATGGCCCGGCCAGGCTCGGACCTGGAACGTCGCCTTCCTGGGCGCCTGGGGTGGGGAAGGGAATGGGGGCCCGAGTCCCGCTCGTCTCGGTAAGTGCGTTCCTTCACCGGTCCTAGGGGTCGGGGCGTAGGGCTCTGGGGAAGGAGGGGCCCCCCTGGTGCCCAGGCGAAGGATCTGCTTGTTATCATCCGTGAAGTTATACGTATCCCGCCTTAAATGGTTGTCTCGAGTTCCGAGCACAGCGGCGGCGGGGCTGAGGCCAGCTGCGCCACGCGAGGGAGGGCGCCGAATAGGTGTACGATTAAGAATGCTGGGGGCCCTCCCTGCAACCGCACGCGCCCCCCCAGAAGGGGGCCACACTGGCGCGCGGAGGGCAGGCTGAGGCCTGGACGGGGGAAGCAAAATAACGCCCTCGCGGCACCTCCGGCTCGCGCGACACTGGAGGGGGAGCTGCCGAAAGGGGGGGCGCCGAATCGGCGTGCGATTGGCCTTTCAGCTGGATCTGCGCTCCATGGTGGAGGCGTCCGAGCGAACGAAGGGAATGCTGAATCCTCAGTCCGAGTAGGGGAGGCCGAGCGGACTGGCACTACCAGGGTTTACGCTGGGACTGCGGGGAACGCCTTCTCGAAGAGAACCCGGAGAGGACTGGCAGAGGGCGTCGCGAGGCCTGGAGTTGGGGGGAGCGTCCCGGGAACGGTCCGCGGGAACCTCGAAGGAGGGCGAGCAATCTCGGACGCTGGGATGGGGCCTTCGGGGGGGGGCCTCACCGGCCGTCCTGCGGGCGAGGGGTCTATGTAGGCCGCCAGCTCCTGAGATTCCCTCCCCGTGTCACTTGCCCGTCCTTCTGGAAGCGCGCGACCGCCTGGCGCTGGTGATGGCCTGACCTCCGTAGCGAGGGGAAGGAGGCTGTCGGTCACGTCGGCGTGCAGAGCCGACACTCCTGTTGCCTGGGGCGGGCCCAGCCCTGGAAGGGGTCCACCATGGTTGGGGCTGCTCTGACGACGCTTTAGCGACTGAGTTGCTCCATCGTCCAGACCGTCCATTGACCGACGCGGCGTGCTGACGCCTTTGCCCAGACCTGGGGCAATGCCTGCAGGCGCACTGGGACTCTGCTCCGCCGGGTAAATATTGGGGTCTGTTGGTCCGACAGGCTCTCCAGCTGCTGCTGTCTGGGATGTCGTACGCCCTTGGACTGGATCGGGACGCTGAGCCCCAGGGGCTAAACGGGAGCCTCGTCCACCAGGGATGAATAGCAGTGGCGATGTCGGGGCAAAGTTGGTCTGTCCCCACAGCCCCACCACGACGGGTAGCTCCCGGGCTGGCATTCAAGAAAGCCTGGGGAAACGCAAACACGCCGTCACTAGTTCCCGTGATCCTGGTGGGGGGGGGGGTCGCGTTCAGGGAGGCACCGTCGGGGTCCATGGCTAAGCCGCCGACCAGCAGGGGGGAGCGGGCGGCGGCCGCGGGGGCCGATCGGCGCGGGCGCGGGAACGGGGGCCCTTGCGTCGGGCGCCCCCTCGAGTGCGGGAGACCCCGATGGGGGGGCCCGCTGGTGGCCTTGACCCAGAGGGCTACGGAAGTGGCACACACAAAACACAACGTACAAACACACACACACACACACACACACACACACACACACACGCACACACACATACACACACGCACGCACGCACGCACGCACGCACGCACGCACGCACGCACGCACGCACACACACACACACACACACACACACACACTTACACACACTTACACACACACACACACACAAAACAAAAAACAAACAAAAAACAAAAAAAAAAACTCACGCACGCACGCACGCACGCACGCACCCACGCACACACACACACACACACACAACCACACACACATACAGAGTTGTTTGCGTCGCTGCCACGCGCGCACCAACGCCGCGGAGTCGACACACACACACACACACACACACACACGGACAAACACACACACACACACGGACAAACACAGACAAACACACACAAACAAAAACACACACACACACACACACACATCTGGCAACGCCTCCGCGCCGGGTCAGGGGTTTGGGGAAGGAGGTCCACAAGAGACCCGAAAAATCCGCGCGGATCTCTGAAAGTAATTGTTTTGCCGCTTTTTGTTGGCTCTGCGTGCAGGCAACCAGTGTCATTCAGATTACCCTTTGCTTTGCAATCGAGGCCAGCCATTTCAAATTTTCCGACAGGAGCGAGGCGGCAGATGCTGGGAGATCTCGCGATCCCGGTGGAAGACTCAAGCGAATTTGCAAGACTGCCGAGCCATATGAGGACGGGTGTTGAGCCACAACTCAAGCTGGAACAGGGTGGATTGGGTCGGAGACCGCCTGACTCCAACTTAAGATATATGGATTAGGCCGGATGTGGGCAGACACTCAGCCAAGGATCTATCAGGGCGGATGCCCAATTCAATCTCCCAGGAACTGCAACCTGACATGAGCGTGGGGGAAAGGGTGACCTTGGCCAAAGCGATAGAACAGCAGACGACTTTGACGAGCCGAGGCCTGCGCCACGGCTGCTGCGTGGTGAACGGCCACGGCTCGCGTTTCAAGCCGCCTTTGAATCAACGGGACGTGCATAGCAACTATATAATCAAGCATGAGCCTTCGTGGCGCCAAGAAAACGAATGCTGTGGCTGCGCACGCGTATACACGTATACAGCCACCAAGTCATGCCAGCTGCCTCTGCGCGTGTCTACGCGTTCAGGCGGCTGGCATGACTTGATCTTGCTCAGGCGTAGACATCTTGCGGGGCAGAAATTATCGCCACTTTCGCCAGCACCATCTGGCTGCGGAAGTGGAGCCGCACATCAAAATGCTACGATGTGCCCGACATGGCCGGCACAGTGGGCGGCAAGGTGGCCGCGACAATGGCAAACGCGTTGCTGATGCCTCCTCGTGAATTCCGTGCTCATCCTCACCTTCCTTGCAAGACGTCTCCTCCGCCTCCTCCCTCCTCCCTCCCAAGCACCCCCTCGCTCCTCAACCCAAAGTTTGTTCCTCCTCATGCTCCTCCTTCCCCTCCTATGGTCCACCCGTTTGGATGTCGCCTTTTTTTTCGAGTGCGCGCGGCATCCTAGACCCTGGACCCATCCGTGGCAAACTCGTATCGTTCCTTACAGATCATTGCCCCATCTCTTATGCTCTTCTTCCTCATACTCTGACCCCATCCATCCTCGTAAGCTACCTCCTCCTCCTCTTCCTCCTACTCCTCCCCCTCCTTTTCCTCCTCCACCTCCTCCTCTTCTTCCTCCCCGTCCGTTTCCTCTCCTCGTCATCCTTCACATGCGCTTATTATTGCGCCTCCTCCTCCTCCGCGTCCTCCTCTTTTCCGCTCTTCCCCCCTCCTTGTCCTCCTCCTCCTCCTCCTCCTCCTCCTCCTCCTCCTCCTTCTCCTCCCCCTCCTTCTGTTCATCAGTTACCGCCTCTTCCTCCTTCGCCTCCTCGTCCTACTCCTCCTCCTCCTCCTCCTCCTCCGCCTCCTTTTCCTCACTCTTCTCTTCCGCCCCCCATCCTCGTATTCTTCGTACTGTCATAAGTATGTGTGGTAGTAAAATAATTGGTAGTTTACTAGTTATGGTAGCATTCGTGGTATTCGTAGTATCGTTAGTATTAGCAGTGCGGTGTCAGTTGTCATCGCATTATAGTTGCTAGTATTGCTAATACTGGTATCATTACTCTTGTGATTGTGACGTTTCGCATTATGAGCACCAGCATAATGTATATCATTATGAGTCACATTCCTATGTTTAATACTAACACGCATCGGGGTCTTAGTATAATTACTCGTGTCCATACGATTCGCCGTAATACTATTAGTATTGGCCTGGGTCGATTCTGGCAAACTAGACCCCCCGAGAATCTCCAAGAGGCGATCTGGGATCTCCAAAAAATCTTCCCGCGGATCTTCAATCAATGTTGCGCCGGAAATAAAATCTCCAAAAAATCTTCGCATGTTGGAATCTCAAACGGAATGTCCAAAAAATCTTCGCCACTTGAATCCCCCCGGAAAATCATGCGAAATCCTTCGCGAAATCTCGTCTGAAATTTCCCAAAGATTTCCCGGAGATTTTCCGGAGATTCACCGGAGATTTCCCGGAGATTTTCGGGGTCCGGAGATTTCCCGGAGATTTTCTGGTGATTTCCCGGAGATTTTCGGGGCCCCGGGGATTTCCCCGGAGATTTTCGGGGCCCGGAGATTTCCCGGAGATTCCCCCGGAGATTTCGCCGGAGATTCTGGGGGCCGGAGATTTTCCGGAGATTCCGTCGCAGATTTGTCGTGGCCCGGAGATTCCCCCGGTGATTTTCCGGAGATTTCTGGCCCCGTGGGCCCCGGTCTTGTTTGCCAGATTGACCCAGCCCAATATTAGTGTCGGTGTTTCTTGTTATCAATCCTATTTTTATCCGCAACATGCTTGACTGTAATCGGTATCTTCTCATGCTTCATCTGTTCACTGATGGTATGATTACTATGCATCGCCGGCATATTAGTATAATTCGCATTCGCATTCGGATTTTCGTTGTTCGTGGTATACTATCACTATTATGCAGACTTGGTAGTAATTATGACTACTAGTTGTATTGTGATTATTCAGATCAGCATTCGGCATCGTCTTCTGTTTCTTCTCGTTACGATCACGATTATAACTGATGATCGTATTCCTGTTCCTCTTCCTCCTCCTCCTCCACATCCTCCTCCTCCTGCTCGTCCTTTTCCTCCTCCTCCTTCGCCCCCTCCTCCTCCTCCTCCTCCTCCTCTTCCGCCTCTCCTCGTCGTCTTTCTCCTCATCCTCCTTTTCCTCCTCCTCCTCCTTCTTCTCCTCCTGTTCCTCCTCCGCATCGTCCTCCCCCTCCCACCAACAGGACTCGTGGAGTAATGGGCTTACGGCGGGTGCAGGACAAAAGGGGTGGCGGCTGCGGGTTCCGGACTGAAAAACATGTGTGAACCAGCGCGTCCTAACCGAGTGCAAAGTGAGAGAATCGACGGCTGATGTCCGCCACCGTGCTACGAAGCACAAGTTGGAGTGTCTTCAAAGCCTTTGACATTCGCGGTCGTCAACCCTGACCGACTGAGTCTGGACCCCAAGTGGTTGGATTTCCCGGAACGCGTCGCGGCTCCCCCAGGGTCTGGCGCACGTGATCGCCTGACTCGGTCGGAGGCCACCGGGCCCAGTTGGCCGCGAAGGCCCCGAAGAGGCCCCCAAAACACCCCAAAACAGCCGCGTCAACTCAAGATCGTTCCGTGACGCCGACGATGGTCACAACGCGGCCCAAACAGCCTCTCAGACGGCCCCAGAGGTGCCACGAGGCCCATCAGGTGTTTGACAACCGTTTTTGTTTGTTTGTTGGGTTTGTCGACGATCCAAAACGGCCCAACAGGCCTCCAAGATCGCTCCAAGAGGCCCTCATGACAGCCCCCAAGGCGGCCCAAAAGGCCCCCAAAACGGCCCCAAGAGAGGCCCAATAGAAACCCAAATGAGGCCCCTGAGATCCATCCCCAGGTGGCCCCCGAAAGGTCGCAAGACCACCCAAAACTTCAATTCCCAAGATGCCCCCCAGGAGATCCTTACAGGCATGCGTGCGGCCTCTGACCAACGACCAAGCGGTGGCGAAATGCCCCCCCCCGCCCCCCCCGTCGGCTTTCCACAAAAGGTGCGCTTGGCGCCAAACATTGAAAATGTTCGTTCATTCCCCACATTCCCGGAGGTCCTCCGGCCTAAACCGCCGGCCGCCCAGAAAACCGCAAAACAATCCAACTCATTGGCTATATCGCCTCCAAGACGGCCGCAATAACTCAATAAAACCTCCAAGACGCACCCGAATCGGCACAGATGACCTGCAACGGTTTCCAAAATGGCCCCAATACGCCTCCAAGACAGCCAAGATGCTTCTCAAACGGCCCAAAATATCCCCCAGACGGCCCAGGAAGCGCGCAAGTCGCCCAAACAGAGCCCTAAGGGGGCCCCCACCTGAAGGCCCTCGGCCTTACTAATTGTTAGCAGCACATGTAAGTAGGTTATAAGTAAGTTGCAACTAGGTTGCAAGTAAGTTATAACCATTAGTAATGTTACTAAGTCGGCTAACTCGGGCGGTGCATTTGGAGGTAGATAGCTTGAGTTAGCGAAGTTGCTAACTTCGCTAACTTTTACATGCTTACGTGAAAACAGAGCTGCTGCATCGGGTTTTCCTTGGATGTTGCCTCCAGAAACGCATGCATGTGTTTGGATTTTCGGGATCACGCATATCGGAAATCATGATCCAGACTTGCGTGCGAACGCATTCAGAATATTGTATCGAGCGTTACAAGAATGTTGTGCATTGCAAATGCAACATATCATTTCGAATTCGCAACCCTCTGTTGCACATGTTTTTGAATGTCACTAGAGTTTGGGCTCCAGCCGCTTGGGCGAGGATTGCTGCTGGCGCTTGTGGCGTCCTCCTGCACGCGGCGTGATGAACGCCTCCCGTGAACAGCAGATCGCGGAGGTCCGCCCCAAGATGATGGCCATCAAGGACATGTACTTGCATCCTGATGCAGCGGTGGTCTCATTACTTGAAGACGTATGCAGCATTGCAAGAGGCATAGACTGCCTGAGGGTAGAAAAAATACACTCGAAGTATATGATGGTGTGCACAGAGAATCGTTACGGAGATGGAATCATTCCGAGCGAGGTTATGGATTTGATTTCCAAGATCTTCAAAAATGGATTCAAGAACTCAGCCCTCCAGAATCCAGCTTGCATGGAACTTCCACCAGTGGGCACGCCTGAGTACAATGCAATCAAGAACTTCAATTTCAAAATAATGGAGGACTCAGCGGGCCAGCTGCCGCAGTATGATTGCGATGCAAAGTTCGCATCCTATACGTGCGGCCACACATCCATGGGTTTGCGTTGCATCAACGCAGGGGTTCCAGTACCCACGGTCATGCCAGAGCGTTTCGACAGAATCTCGCACCAAGGGAAATTGTCACTGACGAGGTTACGGGAGGTTCAACCAGACTACGCTAAGGCGTGTGACGAAGGAATTGAGTGGAAGGTCTTTCGGTACGAGTTCGTGAAGGAGTTCCCGTGGATTAGTAATCTTGCTCAGGAGGCTGGCAATGCAGGCCAACAAATTGCCAGATGCGAATCTCGCATGAGTCTCATGTACAAGATCGCAGCAATTGCCAACCGACACCACACGGGTGGCACCATGATCGATTGGGATAGTGTGATCCGCGAGGCGACTCGCGCAGGCTCTCTCTTTCCTGGGGAGATCGATGGCTTAGTAAAATATGTGAAGGAGTTGTCTGGCGGCCTCGGCAACCCGATCTTTCTGAACGAGCTTCGCGACTTCTCGCGGCAGCTGACCTCCCAGTGCGTGGTCACGGGTTCAATGGCGAAGTCTCTCGCCGAGGTGCAGATCAAGCATGAGGGGGCCGCTGCGACATTCAAGCTCGCATGCATGAAGGCGATGACATGTGCGACGGGTAAGTTCGCGAGGGATGGCCATCAGATGCTTTTGAAGCCAGGCGACGTGACCGCCTTGTCGAGCGATAAGAAGTCTACGATTGTAATGGTGGCCGATGAATTTCTTCAGAAAGTGCGACAGATCGCATGCGGTGAGGGCATCACGGCAGACACGGTCGCCTACGGCACCATCGTGGGATTGACTGACGTTCGCGTAGTTCATTTCGTGTTCAACAAGCCCGATGAGCGCTTAGGCACTTGCAAGACGCTGAATGACATCGGGGTCAGCTTCACCACTGCGTTGGCAACGCACGTTGGCAAAGCAGTTGCTAGCCCATGGAAGCAGATCGGTCGCGAGGGCGCATCCAAAGCCGTGACAGGGCAGGCGCGTAGCTCAGATGTGAAAGAGTACACCGCGTCGGGCAAGTGGTCGAACCAAGTGGACAAGCTCAGTGACAA